CTGGATTATTTCTGGCAGCCTGTTCAGGCCCTGTGAGTCTGCTCTAGTTGAGTTTAGCTACTGGGTTAGGTCACGATATTGTGGAATATAACTTCTCTTTTTTATATTTCTGCATTTCAAACAAAAGCTGTGATTTACAGACTAAGGGGGGATGCAGACCAGGGCGTCGGGGACGCCCTGGTCCAGAGCGCCATGGGACTGCAGCCTCCGCACCGCGGTGCTCCTGCGGCGACCCTAAAAGGAACGCCAAATTGGCGCTCCTTTTAGAAGTCAGGGAAAGTGCGCCCTAAACCTGTAGGGTGCACTTTCCCTGACTTTTCCACCACAGCGCGTGCAGTTGCTGCGGCGGGAGGTTGCCCTGGGAGCGCCGGCCGTGCGGAGGGCCGGCAGCTCCGAGGGCAACCTTGGGAAGAGGAAGGGGCGCCGCTCGTGCGGCTGCCCCTCCTCTTCCGTGCCTCCAAGATGACCCAATTAGTCGCCTGCTGAGGCCCTGACAAAACCTACATGTGAAATGCAAACACACATTGAATGTCACATCTGACTTGGGCTTGACTAGCAAATATTTGCACCACAAGCACTCACAGCCAAGTCATGTGCTCCACATATTAATTATGCAATCTGGAATGATAATGGTAGCCTGTTACTCAACAATATTCACATGTGCATTCCAAGGCAAAAAACACCTCTTTCCATCTATACTTTTGTGTGAAGCAGGTCTTCCTTTTGCACATTCTACTTAATGTGCAGACATGGAAGTGAAGTCCCCAATCTTCTATATGACCCATTTATATGTGATGTACTTTTTCTGTTCAGTTGGCACTAAATTTACAGGAAGATGAAATAGGAGAAGTGATGGATGTGGAATATACAGCAGCATGTAAAAGAACTTTAGCATCCAGCATTTTTTACTCAAGTTCCCAGTGCTTCACTCTCCTAGGTCAATTCTCAAAAATCCTGACATGAGAGATCCTAAGTAAATGGCACTAAACAGTGAAGTAGCCTTACAATATACTGCTTCAGCAATCCCCTACACAAACACTGGGAATAAGAATAGGAGAGCAACAGAAATCTTGTACCATCTAAATAGAAAGTGTAATATCATAAGTGCATGATCTGTCCAAAGAATGCAAACCCACACAAGGCCTATTTCATATCCAATTATGTATATGATATCTATTGACAACAGTGCTTTGGATCCAAAGCCTCTCTTGTTTAAATGAAAGGCAATTCTACTTATGAATTTGTGTGGAATGGCCTCCAATTCCTGCCAATTCCTTCTCAGTGTCCCCCAATTCATGCTACACTGCATCCATTTTGAATTGTCCTTCTGACCCACAGATATGGATTATTTGGGATGTGAATGGATAAAGTGGGAAGGGAACACTGGATGAGTGGAGCTATACCTGTAGGTTGTTTTTTTTTTAAATCCATGCCAAAGTACACAGGACATCTATTTAATACAATATTTACTATACATCCCCAGATCAGCATTTATTTAATTAAAATTTAGTATTCCTTATTAATCTGGTTACAACCTTTTGTGGAATTCACCACTTTTTGCAATAGTGAAAGCATCATATTGCAAATAGCTTCAGTTCTAATCCATTCATTTCCAAAGATTATAAACTGTTTATAATGCTGATGGTTTCTGTGTAGGTATATTTTTAAGGAAACTTCCTGAAAGAAGTTTCTATAGTACCAGTTTAAAAAGTCAAACATTAATTGCATAAGTGCTAACATGTAGTTACAGGAAGGGCTTGGAGAATGCCTTAATCCAGTGTTGTTGATGCAAAGAAAGGTGTGCTCTCTCTCGCTCTCTCTCACACACACATCTATGCAAGTTTTGGGAGCAAAATCACATATTTAGCTGTGGTGGGCCCTAGGGATGGATCTGGGGGCTGTTCTATCCCCCTTCACTATATGA